ACGACAACGGCACATGTCAAGTGATCCACAACGGAAAACTCAGCGAGGCGTTTGGAGTAAACACAGGAGTCAGACAAGGGTGCTTATTATCACCAATGATATTCCTAATTGTGGTGGACTGGATTATGCGTCAGACAGTGGGAAACGAGAAGACAGGAATATCCTGGACCGACGTGAAGAACCTAGAAGACCTGGATTTCGCGCGTGGATGATTTATGTTTGATGTCACACACAATTGAAGACTTACAAGCGAAAACCGACAAAATGGTCGAAGAAGCAGCCGGCGAAGACAGGACTCCAAGTGAACATAGACAAGACGGAGGTTATGAAAATAACCAACCAACCAACAACAACAGCAGCAACATCCAGCGTCAATCACCATCAACGGGAGGGATTTGAAAGAGGTTACTTCATTCACTCACTTATCTAGGGAGCATTGTCTCAACTACAGGAGGAGCGGACGAGGATGTCAAATCGAGAATCGGGAAGGCGAGAAACACATTCATCAACCTGAAATCAATCTGGAAATCTTCGTCACTCAGCATCAACAACAAAATTCGTCGGATTTTCAATACAAACGTAAAGTCAGTTCTTCTATACGGATCAGAAACTTGGAGGGGGGGTCACAAAGAATATTTCCAACAGCCAGTTGCAGACCTTTATTAACAACTGTCTTCGCTCTATACTGAAGATCAGATGGCCGGAAAGAATCACCAACAAGGAATTATGGGAACAAACAAAGCAAGAACCAATCGCCCAACAAATATGCAGGAGAAAGTGGAGATGGATCGGACACTCGCTGAGGAGACCGCTGGGTGACATCGCGCGTCAAGCCCTCGAGTGGAACCCGAAAGGGAAGCGGCGAGTGGGACGTCAGTGCAAGGGTGACATGGAGGAGATCGTGTGAAGAGGAGTTGAAAGAGTATGGACTAACATGGATGCAGGTGAAAAGTACAGCAGAAGACAGAAGCAAATGGAGACGTGCAGTTGAAGCCCTATGTTCCACTAGGAAACCAAGGGAGCAATAATAATAATATTTCTGGTTAAAACCTGGCGTTTTTTCATCTACTATGTACACTTCCCTAATAATGCAACTTCTAATGACGTAGGTGTGCTAAACGTTCGCGTTCGCTCTCACGATGTGTTCTGATTCACTTTAGCTGTTCGGTTGGCTTTCTAATAAATGATCACCTTTTGGAGACCTACGGGTGATACCTATTACTAATCACGACAGATAGACACCATGACAGCCTACAAATCCGTCACTGATAGTAAAAGTTGCTGACTTCAACACTCATTTGCGTCTTGATCACCCACAGTCACAAAACAACATAACTGTTAGGACACCTAGTAAGACAAGGTGAATCTGAGTACCATAAGAAGTTCAGGCATAAAGCTGCAGACTGTACTTTCAGTGAAAATGTACCAGCTCGAAGAAACTCCTAAGCTAAATAATAATTGCAACGTCTGTTGTTGGCAATACTCCGACTCGCCTATTTTACGAGAGACACGGGGACTTTATTCTTGATAGATACAGGAGCCGGAACCCGTTTTATTGTACTTTCGCTATCAAGGAGACCTGCATACACACCCGGATAAATGCCGTCCCGTACTGCTAACCAAACTGACATACACATCTGTGGTGGGCAATCACTGATCTTGAATGTTGGTCTGTTTCACCGTTCCGCATGAATATTCACAGTAGCTGACGTTCGTCACACCATACGTGGCGCTGATTTCTTAAGTACCTTCAATCTACTTGTTGATGCCAACAGTAAGATACTGACTGATACCTCCACCCAACTGCAAATTCATGGAGTTACTTTGGCTTCCTGAGTGTCTATATTGAAAGGACGGAGAACTGCAGATTCACCACTTTGACAGTGCATTACCCTAGGATCACTATGTTCTCTGCCTTTCTATCAAATATGCCGAAGAAAAGTCTCAATGTCTTTTCTGTGATATTTTATTATAAATTGGATTTGTCCGAAATGCTTCTCGAATGCTGGTTGTGAAATTGATATGCATCCACACGATGGAAGTCTGACCCATTTTGCAGTAAACTATGCTCAAATGAATCCATTTCGCAATATAACTTGAATGCGAAAATTTGTTCACTGGTGTGATTTATCTATTGTTGAACAAAATGAATACCTATTGCTGTTATTTTGTTTCCACCAGTGGATAACGCACAGAGAAAACTGAGGATCAATTGTTTGCACTATAAACCCAATGTGGAAGAGTTTGTTCTTAGTTTCTCAAAAGCTACAGTTCTAACAATGTAAACCTAGGCTTTATCACTTAGCACAATGTTATGTCACCAAACACCTAAAAAAGTCCACCCACCTTATACAGTCCCTCCGCTTCGTCATGAAGAATTACAACTCTTCAAATCTCATGTTCTTGAATGCTGTCTAGAAATCAAAAATTCAAAGCTGATTCATCGACTTCTAATCAAGCATTACGTCATCAAAATGACAGAACTAATCAACAATAAATATTTGGTCATCGCACCTCCAGAGAATGGTAGTGCCTTGTCAGACAAATCAGATTATGTAGGAAGAATGTCAACAATACTCAATGATGATGAAAGTTCACATGGCCAGTTGGGAGGAAAGATAACAACTAACAAATATTTCTTCAAAGTAAACGAAAATTCAACGATCGATGTGGATTGCTTTGCAAGGATTAAGCCTTTACATTCAATAATTTCACGTATCTATGGTTTGTCTAATATACATGAAGAAGTGTTATCCATGCGTCTAATTTTAGATCTGTCTAGATTACACTACCACCACGTGGCTCAGTAGCTAGCAGAAATTTTGGAACCTGTTAAAAAGATATTGTCCATTCTGGTTAAGAGACACCTTCTAATTTCCGAGTTCAATAAATGAGATTAACGAAACTGACATGGTTATGACTCCACCATATATCGTCTCCGTGATCATCCACCTGACTTTGACAGAAGCGATATGATACGTTAATTTATTGACTAAAATGACTTAAATGTTTAAATAACTACTAGATAAATTCAGGAGCAAATACTAATATGCACAATCAATATTCAATCCCTACTTCATAGTGAAATATGTCGATAGAAGAACGGAGTGGCTATAGGTTTGTCGCTTGGTCTATTATTTGCTGATTACTTCATGGGACACCTACTATCGAATACCCTACAACTAGCTACAAATCAGTAAAAAGTCTATGAGCGATATATGGATGATGTCTTCATCGTTGTCGACGGAAATGTTGACCTAAACAAAATTCTCTCTTCCTTTGTCAATAGATTATTTCACTTAGAATTTGCGAAATTCGTCAAGTACTTAATTGTACTCATCGGTCAATTCGTTTTACACCTAGAAGCTATGTCAGAAGTAGGAATCAGCCTCTCAGATGTTCGGGCCAACTCGCCACAAACAGAGATCGGACGGGCAGCTGACTAACTTCTACAGATTCGCTCTAATAAATAGGAAAAGAAACCACGTTAAATCTCTTCACAAAATCCCCGAACTGTGTATCCGGAAGCAGTTTGTCCAATTCTTTTTACTTTCTTATACTTTTTTCAATTGTACTACAATTTGGTATGGAATCCATCTTTTCCTCTTGATATGTAGTCTCAACAGATTTTAATAAGTGACCTCTATTAGCATTCTCAGGACCTTTAACAACACTTATTTAATAGTAGACCTTTGAAGAGAAGTTACGAAAGGAATATTCTTTGCTGACCTGTCATTTCAATTTAATATAGAATGCATAGCCATGCATACCATCATGATTAAAGCTCAGCGAAAGTTTTATTGGTTCAAAAGACTTTAACGCGATTGTCCCATTGGATTTGGGGAAGTAATATGTTTGATTTGGAAATTTAGATGACGGTGCTCACAGGCTTATATACAGATGACTAATTCAACATCGAGACCTGGTGCCACTCCTTTCTAATAAGTCGCTTTCGAAGATCTTCAAACACTATCCATATGCTGAAGGCAATATTAAATAAACGTCATGATATATATATCCATATAAATTGTGTGTTTGTTTGAAAGTCTGATCTTGGTGACATGTATCCATATAAATTGTGTGCTTGTTTGACAGTCTGATATATTTTGCTATGTATATATGGATCGATATTCCATTACAATTAGCCAATCATGTTAAGACTGTCTGTTGATTTGTTCATTTTGAATATTCGCTCTCACACTTGTGTTCACACACTTGTTCGGACATTCATATATATTTTTGCTCTCACACTCTTGTGTGACTTGGATTCTCCTTGTGTTTGAAAAATAGAAGTATCATCGCAAACCTAGTGGTCTTCTGATTTCCGTTTTTCTTGCGTCAGGACTATTAAATTCTCTACCAGTACATGACAATCATTTGGCGACGAGTACATAACAAGTCATTTGCTACTTGTTATAATTCTAGGGATTTTGTTAGACTGGGCTGAGGAAATTCATCGGTTGCCATTAGTCCCTCTGCAAGAAGAGCAAATTCCATTAAGCCTTCGAAAAACTCTCCAATTAGCTCCAGCTCTATTGAGATGAATTTCTCGAACACGTATGACAGCATTTTTCTAACCGTCTCGTCCGAAGATATGACGAAATATAGTTCTTAAAGGCCATGATTTTTCATCTCTCTCCTGCGCTTCCAGTGGAACATACGGTTTCCAGACTAAAGTTTCTGCAGCAATGGTGTCTTTATACGAAGTGGAGTCGCTAGCCTCACACCCTCTTTTCCGGGCCTACTATCGGCTAATAAGCTAGGCGACGTTTAGGATTGTCGTCCATAACTGCAAATGCATTATTGGTGCACACTTTCTTCACTGTGCTATGGAAATACGTGGCTTGTTATTCACATCTACTCCTAGCCATTGCTAACGATGACCAGAAACATAAATCAGCACCTAATAGTAAGACTGCTAACGCTACAAATACCAGGCCGAAATGTAAAAAGGACAATAGTAGGACAAAAAGCGGATAACATAACACTGTAACGCAAAGCCAGGAAGTTAGATATCTATTTTAAAAATTCTGAAAGTGAGATGACAAAGTACATTTCTGTGAAGGACGACCTCAAACCTCGATACGTCCTAAGTCAGGCGTCATGTCTTTAGTTCATTGGCTAATCTACAGGGAATGGTTGAATGAAGTCAATCTTCCCTGAAAGAACAACAAACCACCTAGAGCAAAACCATAAAACTCCAATCATTTAACATGTGAAATATTATTTTTTTTAAGTAACAAAATGAGGAGAAAAAGAACCATGATACAAATCTGTCATCGTAAACTGAAACAAAGCAATTTTGAGCAATAAAAGTACTGTGTTTAAAATAGAGTAAAGAAAAAAAGGAATGCCATATGGGACTTAAAATCAGTAATATGAAGGTGAACAAAATAAAGAATTTCAATCATATTCGGCTGATTACGATAAGGCAGCACATTTTTGAGACTTCCTCGCTCCTAACTCTGCAGTTATACGAGCATCGTTTTCTTCCTTTAGCTTTAGTAGATCATTCTGAAAGGTAAATGCGGAAATTCGTAACATGATGTAAGACAATTTTAGCTAGACTTAGTAAGCTTGAGATTTATCAATTCTAAGAATAAAGAAATACAGTGATACAATGTATTATGCCTGTTTATTTGTATGCAAAAAGACGGAAAACGTTTATAAAAAGCAGTATTTAATATTGATATAACTCGCAAACATAGCGCACTGGAGTGGTCATTGAGTAATAGGAGTAGCCACATAGTAAGATAAAATACTTGAAAATGTTACCTAATGACAATAGCCTTGTGAGGATCGGTAATAAAATCCGGCTATCTATACACCAACAGGAGCAGTGAAACATGACCATCTAGCATAAGGGTTGGTTTCAACCCATGAGCTTTGTATTTTCTCGACTAGTGAAAAACACAGTAGATCCTATAGAGAGATAGATTAAAAATAAATGTGTACGGAGAGTTATTCTGGAAAACACTGATGGAAAGCCAAGAAACCGTCATTCCGAAACACTCCGCAAGTTGACTCAAAAATGCTACTAAATGGCTCCCAGGGGTATCGCGAGAACAAAGCAAATGTGAGAGATGATTTTCTAAAGCATATCTTCACCTGACCACAATATCAATTTATGAAGGGCGGTAAGCGCATCCCACTGCAAATACGATCAGCTCCAGTGACATCTGTAGACATAACGTAACTGTCCGCTCAAACATCCAATGGTAAACAATTTGTTTTGGTAATAGGAGAGTTCGTAAAACTTTATGCAAACAAGCAAGGATTTCACACGAACACAAAAAGGCAGTGGCTGAAGTGGCAATCAGATACAACGTTAATTATCATGGTGTACTAAAAATGATATTGAAATAGAGGAGCTTTAGTTATGAGAGTGAAGAGTTCAATTTTCGTATGAAGTAACTAGATGTTATGTCCATAAACACAGAAATTGTGTCATTCCCAAACTTGCAGTGAAGGTTTAAACTCAGTTACGGAAACAGGTCTTTCATGCACAGAGCAACCAGTCACACATATTGCTTAAAGGCTGACGATACTAACCAGTTAGACAGGCTGGAGTAGGCGATACGGGATTCCTATCCGGGACCCACCAGCTAAAAGCCAGGTACCTAAACTAATGAGCTACGTCTCCTATATCAAAACTTTAATAAACACAAACTTAGTGGAAAATAACAATCTCATCAACTACGCAAAAATATATCCCAGATCAAATCTAACTGATCATCATCTGTTTTTTAACTCAACAGTCAAACATTTGAACGAATGAAGGAAAACCCCGTAGATCGTCATTTAGTCAAAATGGTGATGCGAAGGCTTAAGTCAATAGAGCTAGAAGCTATCAGAGCAAAATCATACACTCAACATACCTGCGACACTTTCTCAATCACATGAACTGAAATGAAAACCATACTAAAATTTTTTAATGTGCACACATCCATGAAAACGACAAAAGCACTGGAATCCCAATGTTATCCACAAGTCAGAGCTACAAATTTTTGTCATACAGCTTGGTATAGTGACAGATATAGAATCGATGAAAAGATCGACAAGTCAATAGGTGAACAATGACATAACAGAGTGGAAACACTCACCTTCCAGCCAAGAAGTTCGGAAAGCTTGATAGCGCCATCATCCGTGTTACCCGACCAAAATACGTCACGTTTATTATTGGACTCGCCAGACTTCAAGTTATGTTTTTTAAAACCAGCAACCATGAATCTCATGATAAGTGAAGACAAATCCTCGATAAAAATGATACAAACTGGTGTGCATATAAATAAAGTACTTTATTACAAATGTAATTCTTAAATTAAGAGGAAACTAGTGTTCATAAAGAGATTTTCGGTTTGCATACATCTGGAGGTAGACTTCTTCAAGAGAATGGGAAATATCTGGAAATCATGGAAAGTTATATCCCAACCCACTGGCTGAACGGTAGGTAACAATGCTCATTTCGTAATGGTTTAACTGCTCACTGAGTAGTGGGCTTATATTGATTAAGGATTTTAAACTAAGAAGGAAAAGACAACTACTACTCACTAGCTTTTGTTGGTTAGTAGGTCGTTACTGATTAGTGTCTAAACTGCTATTGATATCAATAAACTGATGAAGTATCAGCAAAGACATCTCGCCGATTTCATTCTCAAAAGCTGTACAATCGCATTTATATACATAAGTCTACATAGATACAATTATTATTGAATTCCGCACAACACTTTTTATAGTCTGTCGTGATGATTCTGACAGCAATCGTCACCCTTCAATTAAATTCACAATGGAATTAGAAAATAAATCAAGGATTCCATTTCTAATCGTCGAATTGACAAGAAGAGATAATAGAACTCTGAAAACATCTATCCACAGAAAACCGTCATCGGATGGCCGACTGATAAACCTCTATACATGTCAATCGAAAAAGAGCTCACATCACCTCACTGGCTCGCCTTATCAGAAGAATTTGCAGCAGTAACTGCCTAGAAGAAGAGCTCTTATTTCTGGCTCGAAATAGATACCCGGCACATTTCGTGGAGAAAAACATGAAACCAAAGCCAAAAAGAGAAGAATGCACTTCAGTACCAAAAAAAACACTGTATTTGAATTTGGACTTCACGGGGGACCTAGCTGCAGATATCTTTAAGAGGGGAATTTCTAGTTGCCTAAAGAAGACCTTTCCTGCAGGAACTCTGAAAGTGATTTTCTTTAGCTGCTATGGATCAGGTTCGGTTTCACTCCTTAGTTTCCGTCTTTGCATTTTTTCATTTTCAGTTATAAAAATTATTTCAATTTTTTCCATGCTCATCCCATTTACATCTGTATTCGTTAAAAACTATTTTCTAATCTTGTGTAATTTTATTTGTAAACCCCTTATAATCTATACTCACACCACAAACTTTCATATCAAATTGAAAATTATTACCACCTTTGATCTCCGTTATTATGTGGAATTAAATAATAATTGTATCTATGTAAACTTATGTATATAAATGCGATTGTACAGCTTTTGAGAATGAAATCGCCGAAAAGACATATTTGCTGAACTTCTTGTTCTTTTCTCTCTGGTGTCCTGATGGATGTTCTCCCCGATATGATGGAATATCTACATTCGCTGATTAATGAGAATTGAAAGTCACAATCTCTATGTCTGATATATAATATCTATTCAGTGATATAAATTTAGAAGTCCTGTTAGTCTCTTTGGAAATCGGAATATTAAATTTCCATCATGATTTTCCCCAGTCGTGAAAAGACCGATTGAGCGCAAGGTGAGATGACATGCCTTAAATGGTCATTATACGGGATTTTTAATACATGAATTTTACATTCAATTGACAAACAAGCACAAAACCACGTCACTGCAGCTTCAATAGGATAATGTATTCAGTCGAATCGGTAACCTTAACTATCAATAATTCAGGACTAGCCGTTTCTCAATCTCAATTGTAAAAAACAGAGAATAAGGCACCTACTAATCATTAACAATTTGTAAATCACTAACTTTAATTTATTGATAATTATTCGCAAAGTTGACACCCTAACATAGGAACTTACAGAAGCAGTAGAACCATCGCTGAACTCACGATTGATATACAGTCTCGGAACATTAGTACCAACACGATGAATAAGAGCACAGAACGGTAATACAGTTAACGAAGTGCCCATGATGATAAGTAGATCACATTCACTGAAATCCTTGTTTTACAAAGACAGAAACAATCACAAAATAGTGTAAAATGTTCAAAAACTTACAGGTCATAGCATAATTTTGATCAGAACACTTAACGTGTTATTAAGAACAAGACCAGCTATCAGAACTAAGCTGATAGCCACAAGCCTTTCGCGTAAATAACCAATCACATTCACAGTCAATGCTACCCACATCTATCCACCTAACCGATACTAAACTGAGTATCAACAGTCGTAAGGTTGTTCAAAATATTGCAGTTTATTTTATGAACTTCTGACACAAATTAAGTGTATTTGGTGAAAAGATAAGTAATCAACTACAGTAACTTTGATAATTTCCAGTTAAAAATTCACAATACGGATTAGGAATATGAGATGGCAAAATGCATCTCTGAATCATCCTTATAATTTAGCAATTCAAATAAATACAACTGCTACCCAATAAAAGATTCTTCGATATGAGAATAGAACCTCGGCACTGTGGTAGAGTATAATCCCATTGTGGAGGAAATTTTATTTTGATTAATTCTCACAATGTTAGACAGTAATATTTGCTGATCAGTAAGTATTCTCAAATATCACCAAATATTACCGTATGACACTGTGAGGCTTTATCGAAATAAAATTTTCTCCATAATGGAAAGGATTCTTTATATACTATATTAAAAACCAAATACGATGTATACGAACTTGGGATACTACATGATTGCCTGTCTGTATAGAGGTAGGCACGGATGTCGGAATTTTCTCCCTACTTTTATAGACTAACCGGTGAACGGATAATACTAAGCGTGAAAACCGTAAACCTACTGCTCGTTTTTTTCCTATCTTATAGTTCATTGAGTGTCTGCTTGAGAGCAGTCACATGCTGTCAGTTTAGTGACAATGGGATTTGTGAATTCTATAGCTGCACTCCAGTTGCCGTCCATCTAACTCCGGTATGAGTACATCATAAACATCAGTTGTTTAACTGTAGCCAACAGCGTAGATGTATCCACTCCTTGTGATTTATAATATCCAATAAAATGCTATTGTTCTTCTATATTACTATTCTTTTTGTCTCATATTTCTGCTCATTATCTACCTTTTGAATATCCCTCTACTCTCTTATCTTGCTACATGGAGTGCGGCAACTCAAACTGATGCACATATGTGCAAAGTCCTGCGTTGGAACCAGTCAGTCAGTCAGTCAACTGTAGCCAAAGTTGCAAAACGAGGCAAAGTGGCAGGATTTGATGATATGACTAGAAGTGTTTAAGAATGGTGGTAATGAATTTTTGATTAGATTAATTAACGCACTATTTAACATATGGGAATATGAGGTGGTTCCGTCAACTGTTGATCGTTTCAGTTAGTAAAAAATGAAACAAATCCTGTCATAACCATAGGGAGACAAGCTTAACTTATGTGGTACATAAGGTTCTATGTCACACAGTCTTGTGAAGATTATGAGGGTTCAGAAAAAAACAAACATGAGAAAACCAGGCAGGTCTCAGGTCTGGACGATGATCTGTTGATCGTATTTTTTTAAGTGCGCCAATTTGAACTGGTACACTTTTGAATAAAGCAAAAACAACAGCTTTTGCAGAATAAAATGGTACCATCATTTATTTTGTTGGCTTTTGTACAAAGTTTTGCGTTTTCAAGCCAGTTAGTTGGTCAGAGTGTGTCAGGCTTAGTTTGTGTGTGTCACAGGCCGCCAGAAATACGATGTCACTCTCAAACCTCTACTTTAGCGCAAGCAATAAACTAAGACGATAATAGCACTTAGCCTTAACGTTATCCAGTCGATCTTCGTGGAATGGTGTGAATTACAAGAACAACGGTACGCTGAAACCAGTTACTGTAAGGTGGGTGTTTTCAAAAGCCATTTGAGTCTTAAAGACATTAAATTATTCATCATAAACTACCTCTATCAGTTTATTGGTAGCTCTCTCGAAAAACAAACTCCATACGAAGGACTTCTAGCCGCCAAATGAGTAGCAAAAATAAGAATATAATATATCAAACTACTTCAGTTTATAAATCTGTACCCTTAAACAGATAAAATTTAGTTGAAAAATGTCTCACTGGTTTCAACATGGAACTTTGCATAGATGTGCAGCAGTTCAACCCGCCACACTCCATGTAGCACACAAAGTAAGCGAAGAAAGTAGGAAGAAATACAAAACAGAGATTGGAAGCAAAAAGAATCGTAATATCGAAGAACAATATAGTTTCATTGAGTATTATAAACCACAAGGAGTGGATGCATCTGAGCCACTGAGAATGGACTTTGAGCCATATCACCGATTGTCTCCAGCCATTGGTTCTTACCGTCCTGACGACCGGAAACAGCAAGTCTACACCTTCCTACGTGGTTTAAACCAGCTGTTGTGGACTTCATTGACTGATGATGAGCACACGACGCCTGACCTCAATATTGCTCACCCCACTACACCATTTCACACGGGAGATAGAACGCAGGCACCTATGATCGAAGACAGCTAGCCGACCTTTTCATTGAGCCTAGAACTTCAGATACCATGTTGGTAAAACTAATCCCCCTGTAGTTATCACACCAAGACTTATCTCCCCTCTTGCATATCGGGATAATCAATGACTTACACCAACCTGACGGGACTTCCTCTGATGCTGCCCAGGACCTTAGTTGGCGCAGACAGTAAACTGTCTCCACCGTACTTAATCACATCTGAAGTCCTTTCGTCAGGTCCCGTGGCTCCGCCTCGTTTCAGACTAGTGACAGCTTTTGTAACCTCAGTTAGGGACAGAGGACCTGTGTCTACATCCCATTCAGGGAGGTGTTGGATGGAGGGTAAGTTGGGCGTGACTGTAGGCCAATTAGATTGCTCCTCAAAGTGTTCTTTCCAACGTCCCAGTCGTCTGTTCTGAGAACTAATTATGGTGCCACTTGTCTCGAAATAGACTCGCTTATCATCATTTGTCTTTTGCCCCCTGTTTCCCTGATAAGCCTAAGTAGTTGTCTGGTGCCACCTATTGGCGATGCTTTTTCCATCTCTTTGGGCATTGAAGTCGCCTGCTAAAACAACTATATCTGAACGTTTTGCTTTTTGCAGTAGATTAGACAGTTTCTGGTAGAAGTCATCCTTTAGTTCATCCAAACTGCAGTCTGTTGGGACGTAAGCGGAGACTATGAAAAGACAACGATGGGTGGCGCCCTCCTTCCTTCTTCTAACGGACGCGTTCAGACGAACCTCACACATACGACTATCTACTGGGATCCAGTCAAGAAGTGATTTTTCTGCCCTGACACTCAATGCTATCCCTACACCTTAGAGTCCTCGCAAACTAGCTGAGGGGTCTCCCGACACCCTCAAAGTGAATTTCGCAGATTCACCTTGTTGGCCAGGTGGGGTTAAGTGAATGACCACACTCGGGTCTTGTGTGGGTGTATATGTATATGTGTCTCCGAAACACAACATACATCCACGGCTCGAGACGTTAGAGTTCTAGCTAGTGATGCCTATTGTCCGATTTGGCAGAGGAGCCTGACGTTGAATGCTCCTATATAATGTTGGCGACGTGGCTTTAAGAGGCAGTTCGGAGTGTTTCTCTGGCTCTCATGCAGAAGTGTTAAACGAGTTGGTGAGTCAGTACAATATTACAATTCTTTCTGCTTCATATCTCTGTTTTGTATTTCTTCCTACTTTCTTCGCTTGCTTTGTGTGCTACATGGAGTGTGGCGGCTTGAAATGCTGCACATCTATGCGAAATTGTATGTTGAAACCATTCAGTCAGTGCGACTTCGCCCAAAGAGCCCCGGCATAGTATATAAAACATTCGTATACAGTTCCGGCAACTGCTTTTAGTCTAATCGTTATCCTTACAATCTTCCTGGCATGGTAGAACCTGCAGGACTATTAGTTACATCCAGCGTAGCTTGTTGAGACATCACGGTAGGAAATATCGGCGGGTTGACAAATATCATTTCAATCCCTTAACCTAATGATATTAAAAGCACTAAAGTTGAAAGCGTCTGAAGGGATGAAATTCAGACACACACACAGGACTATAAACAGTGATTAAATCAACCTAATGACGTAGTGGAATGAGCTCTGGCTTCATGAATGAATAAGTAACATCATACGTTAATCACACCAGTTGCCTGTGCCAATACATTTGAAAGCTTAATTCATTTGGTTAAAACAGAAACTTCAAAAATGCATCTCAATAATTAGCTGCAGATTTACGGCCATAATTATCGTAAGACAACTAATTATACCACCTGGCTGTTCCCATATATAGAAGTAAAACAAAATGAAAGCCTGTAACACTATCCGAAGGCAGTTGGTTACAAAAGCCATAATGTCAGTAATCCTAGGTAAGGAATTAGAACGGCAGAGACGAAAGATGATAGAAACATTTCTTAGCTTTAGTAACTTATTTGCAAGAATCCACATTCACTTCCGCGACATCCAAACAGTTTTAATGGTCTCTGAGCTGCTTACAGCAGTGGTTTCGACTGATTTCAGAAGCATTTACTCACAAAAGAGTTGGAAAACCACCCACGTTTCAGTATGGAAAGATCTTAAAATATGACCATCCTTCTTCGACACTGATAGGGTTGCAGAGTGAACCAGAACAGTTATAATAATCATAAAGGAAGCACGTGGAAACGAATACATATTGCATTACACACTTGTACACTGCACGGCTTTTACACGGTCCATGGCGTGAAGCTTTGCCGCGTAATCCATTATAAAAGATAGTTTTTGATTATGGTTAGTGATATACTCCGACAGGAATATGTATTAGGGCTCTACGATTAATTTTGTTTGAACTATTTAGGTCACATGCTTACGTCATTTCTATTCGAAATTTGATCAGTCACGTAGCCACACATAGAAACGAGACTTACTGAAGAAAGATTCTTGTAAAATACCTTGGGCATATTCTCTCCAAAAAATACAACATCTGAAAATAATGAGCTAATAGGAAAGAATCATTAACCAGGTTTGACAACGCCTTCACACTTGAGACACTTAGGTGTTTTCTTGGCCATAATTTCATCTACAAATACGCGGAAAACTTCATTTAGAGTTGTGAATGATAAATACCTAACATGAAGTGAAAACCATATTGCTCTTTGCATTTAATACAGTGACCGGTGTTAAATGTTCCATGAGCTTCAACTAACTTTTCTTCTGGCAGACCAGATAAACGTTCCAAATTGTCAACATTCTACACAAAGTTGAATGATGATTTTTTTACCTGCGTGTAATGTCTCAGTAGCAAACCTTTTTCATGAAGCAACCTGATAAAATAATGGGCCAGTGTGGGCTAAATTTCATCATTACGTTATGAAAATGTACATGCCTTTGCTTCCGGTTTATACACGCGTCTTGCAATCTCAAAGAATGGCCCTGGGTCATGCTACAAAATCAAATAAATGTTTGGTTAGACGAAGGAACTCACGCGGAAGTAATCAATAGAAAATATTTCCATGGGATTCGACAGATTAAACTCCTGTAGATTATCGTATAAACCAGAAGATGGACTACGGAAATCAGGTATTCCAGCAGCTAAATTTTTATGACAACAAAGAAACAACAAAGCAATCGTATTCGAGCACACTTAGAAATTCTAAGACAGACTGTTTTTGTCCATAACGAACGGTGGAATAAAAGAAGCCTAAAAGTCCGTATGCTGAATAATAATTATTAATGTATGTGTTTACGGAGATTTCAGATTTATTTCAGATTCAGATTATTTGGTTGAGGATAGAAGGCTTAGGGTCTTTCGTGACCATCCTAAATATATGGATAAAAATCGTCTAAAGGTTCTATTCCACTCAGAGAGTAGTTACTGGTCCTTAACAGGCTTTGGTGAGTTAGAATTTCGCCAATGTATACCGTATTTTAGTTCTGCCCGATAAAGTAGTTATTTTAGTAAAGACAAACATTTTTCTGCGCATACACTTAACCTGTTGATATGCCTGCACCAACCATAGTTACTATTTTGTTCGCTTCTCCGTTCAGAATTATTTTCGATACACCTGAGAAATTATAAATAAACCTCATATAATAGCACAGTTTACCTTCAATATCTAAGGAATCTAATATCACAGAATCGTTATTATCTAAGCCTAATGCCTTTTTGATGCCATCGAAGATAAAAGACATTTGAAGACAAACGATGGATAAGTGATAAACGAATGAGATAGAGGATAGCGGCACAAATGGCCAATGGAGAGGCTGAGCACTTGAAGGTCACTTATGCACGCTGTGATTGGTAGATTTTCCTTTGCATAAACGATGCGGCTTATACGTGCTCTACGTTACTGAGGCGGGCTTTGAAATAGCAATAATAAAAGCGAATGGACATTGCATTCTTTTGGTTAAAGGAACAAGTTAACATGCTTATAAGTTTCGCAGATGTGAGAAGAATTAGATCCACTCACAAGGAGAATACTACTGGGTAACTTAATCAAAGAAGTATAAAGTTTGAAAATTTTGTCTCATTCAGTTAGCTGTAACGGATGGATAAGAGGCGAAGTTTAAGAATAGCGTCCCAAAACCTTCAACGCTCAAATGACCTTGAACGCATGCTAGTCGTTGGCTAACGGTTCCTGTCATTATCATAGCTGAAATATCAACCCTATTCATCAAATAAGGAGCAAGTTTCACCCAGATAACACTTTTATTACTGTTTGGACAATGTGTTAACATCTCGTTAGGGTTAGGATAGGGGTTAAGGCGAGTATTGTGGTTAGGGTTAGGGTTACGGTCATTGTGTGTGTCGGTGGCACAATGGTTAGGGTTAGGGTTTAGGTTTAGGGTAGCGATTAGGAATAGATTTTTCGTTTATTTCAAGTTCTTAAAAAAAAAAAAAAAAAATTGTATATAGTCGCCAATGCTCTTACTGGAACCATAGTAACTAAACCGAGGGCTTCGGAGAGGACTACACAGCAAGAGAAGAGAGATGAACCATTCCCAAAACAGCACACCTTCAGTCTCTTTGGTGAATACATCTACAGAAACTAGTCCAAATTAGCAACTGATACTCTTCATCGCAACTGGAACGTATTTTTAAGTCATATCAGAGAAATATAATCCGTTTAATGTGTTTTCATGCATTTTCCTGTGAATATACGTCATTTTTCGTGCAAAAGTTCCTCATTTTTATGATTGGCTGCCTGAAGGTCACTCGTGCGTTCGCATCCTTTGGGACGCTATTGTTGAACTTTGCCGGATATGAGTCACTTGTCTAATATTTGCTTTTTATAGAAGAGAAAGTGTGACAGGTGATTTGGAAGTTACACAATTCCTGTGATACTGCACGTATCTTTAATTGCCCGCCGATTCGACAAACAACGTAGACCTATTGGGAGATAATGGCACAAATCGAAGGATACACTTTTCTTGATGCAGCTCTGTGCAAATCCGACGTCTATGTGAAGCTAAAACTGACTTATTCAAAAAAAATCAATTTTAAGTTGAAGAGTTTGTTTTCGAGATGGTAATTTGATCAGTTCACTTGGGATGTACCAAAGGACCCTTATGTTACAAATTGTGATTACGCCAGAAACCTCACTTCAAACAGATGAATTTTCAGTAAATAACGGCTTGTAACCGTCGGTTTATATCTACCATCGAGCAATTCGTTCTAACAACTTTGTGAATCCAATATCAGACATGCATAACAAATCAATAGAAGGTTGGTCAAAGCAAGAATATATTGTGCAAGATGCTTATGTTAAGCTTGTTGGCGTGTATAGAGATAATTAATAAGAATTCTGGAATCGCGAATGTGTGTTGAGTACTGAATATGGATGTATAATCAGCAACACACCTATGTGGGTGTCAGATAATTTAGTTGAACAGAAGTCGAAATCGGTGTGGTCAGGAATACATACAAAGACAATATTAGAGTGGGAAACGACACTGTCAAAATGAGACACAATTAAGATAACAAAACTAACTAAAACGATTAAATAGCATCAAGTTTATTTGCCAGGTTAGGGTAGGCTTACAGCGGTTTCCACTGGGATGCATAAATTAGGTTCTAACCGTTCAATTGGATGGATAGTGACTATAGGAGGAAACAAAGTGGCGATGTTTATGGTGATTAGAGTGAATATGTGTACGGAAACTTGTTTTTTGTTCTAGTAGACGCCTTTCTCGTCGAGAAATTCGTCAAGATGTAAATCAAAAATAAAAAAGAAATTCGTCTCACCCAGGATGGCCTTCTTTTTCCTGACAATTTATTTCCGAGTGATTCTACCAGTTGTTTACTTTGGTCGTTTATTTCTAAGTTCTCCGTAATACATTTGGTCTCCTTTCGATGGTTTCTGTGTGTTAAGGAATGGTCCACAATAATTGCCCCGACTGCGGTTGATGGCAGGGACTTAAAAAGATGGGGGAAGCTTGGAGATTGTTTGGTTAGTATACGTATCAGAAAAATCTTGCTCTCGTCTGAGCAATAGAATGTGCTGGAAATATTAGACAACGGATGGTGCTCAGAAAAATAGCAAGCTCTTGATCGCACAAAAACATCGATCATCAGTCAAGGGAGTAAAGGAAAACTGGTATGATTATAACACTTGCATCTTCAAAACGAGACCTCATTTCATCCTCGTTGGACGATAGGTCATTCTCTGTGGAGTACATATGTAGGGTATCTACAACACAGGACTTTCTGGTCACTCAGAATCCAGAAGGATGAAATGAATAGCCATGCATGAACTGTATCTGCTTTGTGATTTGTAGGGCACTCGTTACTTATTGAGGATGCTGAATAATAAGTGCCTTTCCGCGTATTTGACTAGATCTCTGCGCTTCATTCGGCCACCCCTGTGCTTTCAAAAATAAACGTTCAAACCGTGTAGTCGTTTTCTGCAATAACATGGGCTATCGGCCTATAATTTGAGTAACTATCTCGATAGAAGAGCCGGCTACTAAACATATTTGCGCGCTGTAGATTCAGGTAATGCCAAAATATATGATGCTGTGAAGACTACAGGTGCACCTATAAACTCTTTGTGGTAGAATTTAAGAGTTGACAATGTAGAAAACTAAAATGAGTTTGAACTGGGTGTTACAAAGGATGTATTAAATGGGCGATCAGTGGGAGCAAGAAGAAAAGTTAACACAAGCACTAGAACATACTTTTGGCGAGGCACAACCTTAATGATGCTATATGTAGTTATAAGGAACACCGTGTTCCAAATGTCCAAGTCCAACTACACTGGACTTAACGCTGTCCTTAGAAGACTTTCAGCAGCAATGTGTAATAACCAAGGCGAAAAACCAGAAAACTGATTGGCAACTCGAGAATCCTTTATTCTTGCCCCAACATGTAACCAACAATAAGGTTATTATATACAAGGTTTCTGATAGTATTGCTCCGCCTTCTAACGAACAGCGAACGAAAGAACGATAACTGCAGTATTGGTTACTCCCGCTAAAATATGGAGTTGGGTTTGAGCAAACAATCATGAATTGATCGTTCATTCTTCAACTACATTGACACCGTGCATATCCACGTAATCGCCTAAACTTCTTTGGAAAGTCCCAGCAGATCTCGCCGCGTTCCTAAAGTCAGATATTTTCTAAGAGAAAATTATAACTTCATTCTAAGGTTCACAGTTTGGTAAATCATTTTCAGATTGGTTCCTCCTAATTACTGGGGTAGTTACAATAATTTTTCAGGCACATGTTGTGTCCTTTTTGGTAGGTTATTATATCATGATTTTGATGTATGCCCGGTGAGTCAACACACTAACAATAGCATTATGATGGCCTGTTATGGCAGAGGCAAGAGTTAAATTTCACAAGTTTCATGATTGGTAGAATGGAGAAGCGTTGTATTCGCCAAGAAATTTAGCGATGTTACAACATATAGAGAACATCGGGGAAGCTTCCTGTTCAAATGATGCCATGGAATTGCATGAACGTGCCAGACCAGAAACTAAATTCAAATTTGGTCATGTTGCTGAAAGATGCAGATTTATTGGTTGAGCATAGGAGGCTTTGAGCCTATGTTAATCCTTTTCTAGTAAATTTCTGTGGTTGTCCAAACCCTTCTTCAACGAATCAGTTGAGGTTGCAGACACCACTTCTTCTGGGATTCGGTTCCAAGAGTTTATGACTCGATGTGAGAACCAGTACTCAACAGCAATATGATTTCTCCTTGGCTTTTGAACTTTCCTGCTATGTCCTCTAAGGTGTTCTGACCTGGTGGGAAGGAAAAGAGAGAATAGGTCAGGTCAGTAGTCATTATTTAAAATTTCAAACATTGTGATTAAATCTCCTCTCTGCCTACGGTATGACAGTGAGAAGAGGTTTAAACTGCCTAGTCTTTCCTCGTATGATAAGTCAGCTTTGCAGTGAACCATACGTGTTGCCTTCCTTTGAACCCTTTCTAGAATGTAACAATCCCTTTTAGACAAGCACTGGCGGCCTGGATGCTGTTTTCCAGTCTTGACCTTACCAGAGATGTATATAAGGAGGCGAACATATCTCTGGTGATTCTAGTAAAGGCTCTGTGAACTGCCTATAAGGACCTGATACTACGTACAGCCACCGCGCGACAGTGTGCTGTAGTTTTTAAGTCGTGGCTAACTATGACACCTAAGTTCAGGTGAGTCTGAACTGATGGGAATGTTATTCCCTCTAGCTCGTAGGAGCTTGTGCCTGCTTGTCCAATGCGCATGGTTGCACATTTTGCCACAGTGATCGAGAGCATCCATTCTTTGGTCCACTCTGACAGTTTGTTGAGGTCCTCTTGCAAAGTAAACGTATCACTGTTGCCTTTCAGCTCTCTCCAAATTTTTAAGTCATCTGCGTACAGGATCATAGGGGAGCTAGTGAGCAGAGATAACTCATCGATATACAGAATAAATAGGAGAGGTCCTAGTACTGTGCCTTGTGGCACTCCGCTACGTACTGCTGTCCAAGAGGAGAGTTTCCAGTTGATCCTAACCCTCTGCCTCTTATCTATTAGGAATTCCCTGAGCCAGCTTAGTAAGTTGCCTTTGATGCCAAGACTTTCCAATTTCATGAGTAGTCTCTTGTGAGATACTTTATCAAAGGTTTTGCTGAAGTCTATGAAGACGACGTCAACGGGTCTTCTGTTGTGCCTTGATTTGATCCAGCTTTCTCTTGCAGTGAGGAGATTTGACGGGCATGAGAGGTTCCTTCGGAAGCCGTGCTGCGCTCTGGGTAACAGGCTGCTGTTTTCCAGATGTGCCATGATGCTCTTCTTGATGATTCTTTCCAGTGTCTTGATTAAAGTATTGGTGAGACTGATAGGCCTGTATTTTGAAGGGCTTTGTCTTGATCCTCCTTTCTAAATGGGGGTTACTGTGGCGTCTTTCCAATCACGCGCTAACACTCCATTTAGGAGAGATAGCTTGAAGACCGTAGTCAAAGGGCCGGTTATATGAGCTGATAGCTCACTGAGAGGCCTTGTATGAAGATTATAAGGACCCATTGATTTCCCTGCATCTATTTTCATTAAGCATTTGAATACGATGCCTTGGTCAATGTCAACGGAATCTATCCCGTATCCCTTTGATGCAGCCAGAGCTGATCCTATAGGGAGTGATGACTACTGAGTGAAGACATGGAAGAAGCAGTCTGCAATTGCTTGTGCTTTTTTTGATCTTCTTCGATTGTGTCATTGTCAATAATCAGGTTTGGGACACCATTGGATATTTTATTCCTGAAGTTCATGTACGAGAAAATTTTTTTAGGTTGTGCCTTTGCATTTTGAGCCAGATGTGCTTCGAACTTCATCTTTGATTGGCGGACTTCTGCAATAGCTTTAGTTCTAGCGGTTTTATATAATTTCCTGGTCTCAGAAATCTCAAGTGTGGCAGACAGGTTCCAACATTTGTGTTTACATCTGAGTAACTCACGAATCTCGCGTTTTATCCAAGGGGAGCAATGTTTTTGACCCTTTGGGACGGACCAAGGGATGAAAGGTTCAGTTTCTCGGGCGTAAAGTTGTTCAAATTGGTTCTATGCGGCTTCTACTTGGGACTCTGGGTTGATGTACCAGTTTACCGAGTTGGCTGCTGAGACGATTACATTTATATCAGCTTTCCAAACTTTTGGTCGA